GAAGTGTCATTACCAACAAATGTTGATAATGCTCCTAATGATAAGGAGATTTTCACATACAAGATATCAAAGGCTAGACAGAAACTACTACTGTCAACACAAAATACAGCAATAAAGACTATAAAGACAAAACTATGAGCTTCCCAATAAAGCTAACAGGCTGCATTCATCGGAATGAAAATTAGGTGGAGCCAGTGGCTTTTTCATATTCTTCCTATGTCAGTAACTGCAGCACATACTGTGCTATTCCAAGCAAAAGCTGCTGCAAGACAAGTTTTTCTCAGCCTTCATTACTTTTATTTCAGTAAAATAAGCTGCACTGCAGCTTTTTACAGTTTTTTGGACACTGGTAAACTGGTATTTGATTGCATTACATGTCTTCATCTTTAACTTTTTGCTGCAATCTGCTCTCCTCAATCTAATCTTTGTCAGACATCACTTCACAGCCATGGAAAGATGTCAAAAGGATCCCATGAGCAATCTCAGACCAGGTCTCAAATGTCAAAAGAGGTGGTTGATTGCTGCAAAAAATAATCAAAGTAGACACATCCTTTGGCTCAACAATACCACAGAATTACTAATCTTGCTCTTGCCATTCATAGAGTCAACATAAACTAAATTGTGTTGTCTACAGAATCACATATGACTTCTGATGTTCCTGTTGAAAACACTTCAGCCAAATGGTTCTCCCAAGTTTCAGAGTGCAGGCAGAATTTTCCCAGTGATGAAGACTTTTTTCTAAAGACAATATTGCTTAAAGTGGGATATAGTGTCTAAGAGGACAAATAAAAAGTAGCAGCTTTACACTGAAATCTGCAAATTAAAACAAGAAAAAAATAAAGCCAAAACCAAGTAGCCTTCATATCAGAAACTGCACTGCACAAGCCATTCAAAGAACATTCTGTTCAATTGCAAGTTGCACTTGGGCTGGTGCTATCCTGCAGTGACTAAGGCTTCCCTTAGTTATTCTTCATACATAGAACAAACCTATTCCTATGGCTGAAAATCCTGCATTCCTAAATACACTCAATTTATCTAGGGGGAATATTAGAGAAAAAGAAGTAATCATCACTGTGTGTTCTCTGTTTTCCCCCTCCTTTCTCCATCTTCTGATCTGCATTTAGCTTTCATTTATTTTTCTTCATTTATCTTTCTACTACTAAGGCACAAAAATTTCATGTGCATCAGCAGAGATACTGCTTTTTTCCTCATTCATGTTGTGCATGACTTATGCATTGTAATTTTTGGTTAACCTGATTAACATTATAATATTTATGATTCCCTCATCTGTGAGCCTTAGTTCAGTGCTTATGTCTTATGTTCTAAAAGACATGGTAAATTTGAGCATGTCAATATGATACTGGTGTGTTTTTTTGTTGGTGGTTCTAAGTTCATGATACGCAATGTTACAGAGGTAATATATATATATATGAAATATATTCAACATTTCTTCACTCTGTTCACCTTAACCTACATTTCCCAGCATGAGTCATATTGATGGGTTTTTTAATTCCCACAGTTCATGCCTCCCCAGCTGATTGCAGTACTGATTCTATTTTCACCAAGTCAAGTCTATTTCCTAGATCCTCAGAAGCTATCAACAAGACTTCTCTGAAGAAGATGAATTAGATGAAGAACATCAGCCATGTCCTGTTACATCAATCTGAATGAAATAAAACTAACTCCTAACAGCTAATATTCCATATGAATAAGGATGCCTGCTAAGCCAAAAATGTGCATTAAATTCTACAGGATAAAATTGAAATGGAAGATACTTTAATTATTGCCTAATTACTGCTTAGTATTGCATAGCTTCATTTCAAAATTACTTATTTCCTTACAATATTATGAAAACAGTGTTCCAAATCTTATCAATATTTTATCTTAATTATTTAGTTTGGTGTACTTCACTTGTAACAACAAATATCAATTAAGCTTTGAACATAGTGAGGACCTGCAAGGGCCCAACTTCTCCTCTGCTCTGTTCAGATGTGTTTTATTAAGCTACTACAAGGGAGATGAGACAATTCCACCTTCACTGCAGGGACCAGTACTGCAGAACATTAATGCAGGCTCTACTTAGTGTAACGGGAGAGTCTCAGGTCTGCCATGGATCCAGACTTTTTCCACAGTGAACCTGCATTCCCATCCTCCAGTAGCATTTTGTGAGGCTCCACTTTTCCCCAAGGAAGCATTGATTTTGCTCTTTCCTACCTTTCAAATATTTTCCAATTTCTTACCTGTATAAGACAACCATACAATAGCACAGAGTTAGGAAAGACCCACAACACAACATAACCCCCCACCCCACCCCAAAATACAGCATTCTTAAAATGGAATTAAGTACCAGAAATGGAACTTAAATCACAGCTCCTTCACTGTTAATATGGCATTAAAGATTTTACTTCATTGTATCACACTGAGTAACAGGCAAATGAACAATAACATATGTGCAAAAATGCACAATCTACTAACGTCAACAAAGACTGGTCACCAGCTTGACTTTATTCTTATTCTAGTTTTGAACACATATGTAAACAACAACTATGACACAATTTTAAGCAATAAAACATAACTGAGGTTTTACACATTTTAGAATTTCTTCCACTACCATTCCAATAGAAAAAAATCAGGAAAAAAATCTTTTGCAAATGTATGACCTTGAAGAGATGATATGTATAAGCAAACTTAGTAAAATGCGATGCAATAGTTTCCTACATACACTTTTTTCCTTTATATCCTTTAAAACTGGTATTTAAAATTCCCTTCTATTATTAAAAATACTTTTATAAAAATAAAACACTTTCTTTCTTAACTGTAGGTACAGTCTCCTGTTTCCAGTGGATTCATTGCAACTCTAATTTGCACACAGATCATGCACTCCACAAATACCTTATCACTTCTGTGGGCAAGCACCACTTGCAGATATCTGCACAGCAGTCTGTGTCCAGTCCTGTTTCCACTGAAGTCAATGACAAAACTCTCACAAGCTTCCAAAGAAGTTAAAAACCTCTTTATTAGCTATTCTGATGCGACAAAAAATAACATCCAAGGTTTGGGCCCTTTCCTGTTTAATTGTCAGAAAAAGCAAATCCCAGATTTAGAATTTTGATTCAAGCATACCAAAATACATGATTATAATCCATATTTATATCTAAGCTCTCACATTTATTTGCCTATATGTAAAAACTATGAATAAATGTTCATTATTACAGGACTGCTATAAAAACCAAAATTTATAAATACTTTTAGTATGATACTGCATGCAAGTATTTTGCATGCCTTTACAATAATGTCTTCAAAGAGAATGTCTGTTTAAATATCTACTATTTGTAAGTGGATATAAAAAAGTTTGCTATGCAAACTCTCAGAGCAAGCTATTGAGGCAGGGCTTTGTTTCTAGGTGCGAATGTGTCAAATTTAAGACAGCTTTAGTTACTTTTTTGCATCTAAAAATAACAGTTAACATTTTTATCCATACAAATATAGGGTTTAAGAAGTCATTAAAAAATTAAAATGGCTGACCATTTCCTGCAGCTCAGGACAGTCTGGAAGGCTTTGAGTTCTAAACCATGCATTGTTTCATGATTGTTGATTGTCTTGACATCAAGGTGGTCAAAAAGACATTAATACAGAACTGAATCCACAACCTGTGTCTAGTCATGTAAGCAGTCCTGGTATCTAGAAGCTATTTAAATATGCAAATATAAAGAAGAGATTTGAATAAATACTGCTTTAGTATCTCCTGACAATTACAAATCTGGGAATGGCTTTTCACAGTACTTCACCTCAATGGAGTCTCATTTACTGCCTCCAATACAAAGACACACACACACACAGAGGAATGCCCAAACATACCAGCTTGAGTACAGAAACACAGCTGCACATCTTCCAAAGAGTATCAAAAATTTGGCTACATTGTAATAATTAATTAAAATCAGAGGCTTGTGAAAATACAGTAAAACATACCTAAAGAAAAAAATATTGGTGATCCACTACTAAACTAATATTCAGTATTCAAAGTAAGTCAAAACAGAACACCAATAGAAACAAAAATAGCTTAGGGTTTTAAAATATCCTGGTACTAGCTAGAATCTTCTACTACCTACACTGGTGCTGAATAATTGAAAAAAACATGCATTTAAATAGCTTTTTAATTCACAGGTGTTAGAACATAGGAAGTACCTCTTAATATCCAACTTTTTCAACAATATAAGACTACAACAGTGTCACCTCACAACACATAGCTATTTTTACTAAAAATCTATGAGCAGTCACTGCAGGTTGTAACACATTATACCAATAAAGAAATTAAACCAAAATTTTGTATGCACAGAACAGTCAATACATGAAAACCTTATCTTCAGCTTCTGTTTGCAAACAGGTACCTATTCCTTACCTGCTTGCCAGGGAAGAAAATAACAAAAACAATATTGCTCATTAGACTATCAGGAAACAGGATGTTACAGCAGAAATAGTTTTATTCAGGTCAAAGATAACAAGTCTGCTCCCATGGTTCTTTCAGTAAAAGTGAACAGAGACTGAACTAAATGATCTACCTTGATTCTCAGATAAAGTTTTAGAAATAAGATCTATTGCTGTACTATCTATAGAAAAACAAATGTAAAGAATCCCCCCTCTCTGCCCTCCCCAGGCAGAACATTGCACCATGGCACTGAAAAGCATAAATGAGACTAAAGCACTTAATACTACCAAAGCAGCAAATATTTCCCCACCATTATAACTGAAAACAAGTTTAAGTCTACTTATAACATATTTAAAAAAATCCACACCCACAAAAAAGCAATGACTTTGTCTTGGACAAAGATGGCCTTGCCCTGAAAGCGGGGTGGTATTAAATAAAATATTTCTGATTGTAAGTTGCTACTTCATGTAAAAACAGTTGCTACTTCATGTAAAAACAGCATCTTCATCTGGTTTTCTCCAAAGCATTTGTGAGCTTGATAGGGTATGCTACCAGTTTATTTAAACTTTTGCAATCCTTGCTATTTTTAGCTTGTGGAGGCTGGCACAAAACATTTACTAGAGCTTAATGGCTTGTTCTGTCATTGCTATTATTACAAACCATTCATGTGGAAAGTTGTTAACTGTGCAGTTTGAATTCATAGGTGCTTGTTTTCCACTGGTTGACATCAGCATTGATCATGTTGCGCTCGGTGAAAGTAACGTGTCCCTCAGAATCAATGAGCACGACCGTGTTCGTCCTGCAACAGTGCAATGGCACAAGGTTACACCTGGTCTCCATTATAAAAACTTCTAGGCTGCCATCCCTCATTCCCATATGTTTTAACATATTATTTTACCACATAACCTTTTTTTTTTTTTTTCCTGAGCACATCATCATCACATGAGCAGGGCAGAAATCATCCTGGCAAGTTCAAATGGACATTTTCAGTCCATTCTTCTGTCACTCCACTGCACTGACTCCCTGCTGCACTTGCAGCAGCTTACACACAAATCTGCTCATTGCAGAGTATGGTAAAAGCTTAAACTTAGTGCAAAGTGCTCCATTCAGAAAGAAGTAACATAAAACTTGGTTTTTCTTCACAGCCTATATGTACCCATAAGGATTACTCATATCAACAGTACTCTCTACATTCCTCTTTCAAATCAATTGTCCATTAAGATTTAAACAGTTATTATCATCACAGGACACTGATACATGATCACAGAAAAAGGTTTCTCTCTCTAGAAACCTTCCAAAGAGGAAATTTGTTTTCATGAAAAGCAGATGCCAGTTGTGCACCTACTCCACTTTGCCTTGGTAAACTGTCATTTCTCTGTGGACACTGCAGTACCCTTCCACAGAGGGATGACTGACAGTAGGGATTTTCCACCATTCTGATCTGGTGGCCTTTCCCAAGTCAATTCACAGTTGTTCACTCTTCTAAAAAAAGCATGTAATTTCCTCAGAAGAATATGTGAGGCCCAGTTAACAACCTCTATTCACTAAGCCCTGTTGCTAAGGGAAAGGTAAGCGTGAGCATACAATCACAGCAGTAGGGAGACTTGAAATGTGTACTAATTCACCAGTAGAAAGTCAGTGTTTCTACCAAGTTATCCCCATTTCCTTTGAAATGGCTGGACTCCAGTTTGTGAAACCAGGGGAGGAAGGTGCTTTGTTATCATGGTAAATAAATCTTTATTATCCTATATTTAAAATGTTCTTTTAATTCATTTTAGAAAACCACTGTAAACACTGAGTATCTCTTTCAGAATATCACCTTAAAATGCCTACGGAGCACTCTCTGCTTATCAACTCCCATCTCATAGAGGAAATACTATGGCAGACCATGCCACAGACCAATCTTACAAAATTATTGGCTGACTTTTAGAGAAGCAATTCCCTACCGGCAGCAACAGGGATCAACAATTTTGTCCCATTGAAGATTAAATGAAGATTTGCTTTGCATTATTCTATTCTTTTTGCAGCTTTGGTGGAACAGCCAGAGCAGAGAGTGAGAATATCTCAGTAAAAACAGCAGCATCAGTTCAGGGAGAAGTGGAAATACAGGTTCTTCTGAACAAGAGCAATAGGTTTTAATGTATGAAAATGGCAGATCTGTTTTACGATGCAATGTCTAAGGAAAACTCTGATTTAGCAATGTAGATGACACAATTCCTGCTCATGGAGGAGAAATGTGTTCTGCAGTATCTCAGGTAAGATGAAAGTTAGAGGTGCTCAAACCTGCTACTACACTGGGGAAGCAGGAGAACTGTATTATCTTGTCTGGGACAAGTTAAAGTTGTGCTCTCCATCAAAGATGAACCACAGTGTCAGCTTAAAATGCTCTTCAGTAGCAAATCCCAGACACTCAAATACTGATGAAGGAAATGCATTACTGAATTATACCTGATTAATATCTGAAAAAAAACTAAAGCAGTCACTATAGAATTTAAACTCACAATAGCACAATTTTGATTTGTGATATGCTTTGATCGAGTACACATCTATTTCTGGCTGTGAATTTTTTTACCTTGTTCCATAACCCGGGCAACGAACACATAAAGCTGCATACTTGTTCAATATAGGACGGATATAGTCCTTCCCTTGGTCTTCAATTGCAGGGTCTGGTAATTGACTGAAAAGAGTAGGAAAGTAGTTAAAAAAAAATAAATCTCCATTAACACACTCATCCCTCTTGAACTGGAATAAGTTCCAGGACATCCCTGAGATCACAGTCAAAGGCAGGGGTGAAACAGAAGAGAGGGCGTAATGGACAAAAACCCATCAGGAAGGAATGGAATTCTATGATTAAGCCAACTGCTGTACCCACTAAATTCCTGTAATATGCACACACAAAGAGATCACAAAGTAATATGAAACAGGATATTTTAAGAAAGTTCAAAGCTAGTGCATATCCACATGTTCATATTTATTATGAAAAGATCATTTCATCTTGAAGTGTGATTTGGAAAGATTAGAGGCTTAGTTCTAAATATTGCTTTTTGTAAGTAAATATTTCCCTTTTATAGTCAGATGGTTTCAGATGAGATCAAATGGAATTACTGAACATTAAGAGAAGATCATTTGACTATATTGTATCTTATACCTTTTCATTTTTACTAGTAAAAAGTATAAAGTCTAACAATTTTTTAGAAAATCAGTTGATGTGATAGCAGATGAAAAAACCTATTAAGACAGCTTAGCAGACTCCTCAAATACTGCTCATTGCTCAGATGTCTGAGTTCTTATATAAAACTTTATTTTGAACCACTGAAAAATGCCACATTCGTGAATGCTAGTCTTAAAATTTGTTGTTAAGTTTGGATAACTGGATCTATATACCAGAAACAGCTTTGCTTCAACTCTAATCACTTCCCAGACAGATAAAAGTCAAGGTAAATATGAAAGTTACCAGATGGTGAGCAATGAAATGCATTTAGACCACAGCATCTCCTGTACCCTACTCCACATCTCCACACTGAAGTGGTGTCAACTTCATTTTCTTCTGAACATCCAGCTGATGGGCTCAGGTTCACTGTGCGCTGAGTTCTGAGTGCAGGAACCTTCCTTAATCTCAAACTCATCTCTTGGGGACTTCTTTGACTGGAACTTCCTTGACTGAATTCCTACAGCTGAATTGTACAAACGCTTCCTTATTTCCTTCTCCCACTTAGCCTGAAACAACCGCACTTTTGAGGAAAGCATCTGGTTCTGCTTTGAAGTTTTGCTCCTCCATGCTCTGTCTACTCTGAGCAGCAATACAGAACAGCATAAGCTACTAACACAAACCTGCTCACCCTGTGAGGGTGCTGAGGCCTTGGCACAGGTTACCCAGAGAACCTATGGGTGTGCCATCACTGGAAGTGTTCAAGGCCAGGCTGGATGTGTCTCTGAGCAAGTGGACAGTGTCCTTGTCCACAACAGAGGTTGGCACCAGAACATCTTTAAGGTTCCTTCCTATCCAAATAGTAAATAAATGCTTTCTCTAAGCGCAGTAACCAAACCTACCTGAGCCTCCAAATAGCTGACAGCAAGCAGCTTGCACATCCCTAGTCAGGTACTCATTGCCCTTACTAAGAGAAGTGCAATCTTTAAAAAAAAGGGCACAGTGCACAGCTGATGAGGTCCAAGACTGCAGTAGTCTTGAATGTGTCTCCTGCTTAAAAATCAATACTGTTGAAAGTCACGCTCTGTGAGAGCACTACTTTCAATTAATATCAAGGTAGAGTGCTTTTTTCTTTCCAAACAGTTTCTATATGCATTTTTTTAAATGGGTCATATTGTATTTGAGTAAATTCCATCTGTCATGTTCTTACGGTTCTTGATTATTCATCACAGTAAGAAGCTCCTTCACTAAGTCTTCTTTGGTAAGGTCTTCACTTCTTTTGACCACTTCTGTGAAAAGCTGCTTCCCATATTGAAGTTTCTTCCATGGTGTATCCAACAAAGAATTACTCAATCCATATATTCCTACACACATACACACACACAAAAAAGCCCAATTTAATTGGAAAGTGCATTCTGGCGATTTCAGTTATCACTACAGATTAGGGAGCTAGGGTCAGATCCCATTTCTCAAGACAGACTTCTGTCCTGCCATAGGTACCTGAGCATTATTCCACTAACTGCACTGCAGGTGGGTACACCAACATGGACAGAAACTTTTATGAACTATTGATTGTTTATTGAAAATTATTAACAAAAATTTAAACCAATTCAAGGGCATTTAATAATATATTCTTTTAAAGAATGCAAAGAAAAAGTCAGCAAATACAATGCTTAAGTAGCTAAATTACTAGAACAATACACTGCTACATAAGAAAAAGTAATATTCAAACCTTTCTGAAGAAAACCCACCAGCATTTAGGAAAACAGGTTCTGGATCTCCTTTGTTTCCATAGTAGCAAATTACATCTCCTTTGGTGGTACTAAAAAATATAAATACAAATTTCTCCTTGAAAAGCCATCAGCTTCTATATTTGATTATTCTTTAATTTCATGTAATCTTTGAGCACAGTAAGATGCTTCTCCCACTGTTACTCCTATGATACCAGACATTGATGAGTTTTACTACTTTCCTCCTCTCAAAACACTGTATTAGCTCCACCACTAAGTACCATTATTACCTTAGTGTAATAATGGTACACTAAGAAGTACTATTATTATTTTTAAACATAATAGCAATAAAATTCAGTAATACCCCATAACTTCTGCATGGAACTAGTCAGTCTTAATGACAAAAACCTGGTTTTGATTAACTGGAGATTTAGTTGCTTGGGAGAAGGGGGGCATGTGAAAACAAAGGAACTCTCCATCATAGCAAATACCCTTTTCCCCAGCACCTCTTTTGAATCCTTCCTGCATTCTAAGCCACTGACTGCTGTGGGCCACTTTAGATGGCAGAAGTGCATTTTAGGCCCACTTCCAGCAATGCTGCAGGGCATAGTTGGGTCCTTTGTGCATTTCTTGGCTGTTTTCAGATCACTGTAGTCACTGAATCTCTCTCTAATTCTAGGCACTGGCTGCAGCACTCCCTCTCTCTTGTGCAGAGTACAGGGAGGGTCTTGCACAAGGTTCAGGAACAGCTTCCAACATTGCAAACAACTCTTATTTGACAGAGATGGTATCAGCATATCCAAACAGCAGGGATTTAAATAATCACACTGATACTGACAACACAAACACCAAACCAACTGATAAGGGGGAAAAAAAAATAGAAAGTCATCAATAAGCCTTGTGTGTCCTACGGGAAATGGATTGCCATTAGATGGCTCACTCTCAACATCCCTCAATCAGCTGACATGGAATAGTGATTCCTCAGATCACTTCCAGTTGGTGGGGTTTGTTTTTTGTGGTTTTGGTTTTTTTGGGTTTTTTTAATTTGCCAGAATACCACAATGAGATCTAATTCTGTATTTCCCCCTAGTGATTTACTTGCTCACAGATACCAACACATTTTGACCATAGCTCAGTTTTTGTCTCCCAAGCTCCAGCTCCTCAGACAGCAGATAGACTTTCTAAATTGAAAAAAAAACAAAAAACGACACCACCAAAACAAATAAAAAACCAAACACAAAACTTGCAATTAAGATTGAATCTGGATAAAATAGCATAAAACATAATACAGGAGATAAGCAATTTCCATCTCCTCATTTTTTTTCTAAGATAAAAAGGAGTATCTCTGCACTGATGCAAATCAGTGTATATAGAATGCAATCTCATTAATGATGCACTGGAACTTAAATTGCTCTGCATAACTTAGCATCCGCTACTCAAACCTTAATAACAAGCAAAACAGTCTGGATTTAGCTGTTTATATTCTTCTTGAAAAGCCATTATGAAAGACATTCTACAGTGTCCTTTACAAGACAGCCAAATGAAGAAGGAAATATTAATTAATTATAGAAGTCAGAACATTCAAGAAGAGGAATACAAAAAAAGCCCATATAAAGCAAAAATAGAACTGCTTTTCTCTGTGCACTACTCTTCCTCCTCCCAAACCAACACATAAGAGTTTTCTGATACCACACAGAAAGATGATCAAGTTTTTCAGCACAGGCAGAAGACAGCAATTATAGCAGGCATATTGTATGCTCTATTTTTATTGTTAAATATCAGATAAGAAGACCTCATTTACTCAATTCGCAATTTATCGACTGTTAAATGTGTAATTTTTCTGAACTTTCCTTTAGTGGATTAAGAGACTTATATTCCTTATCTTTTTCTTCTCATTCTTAAGATCCTTGTTCAAATTTATTTATGCTGATGTCAAGACTTACTGACCACCTGAACTCTCCACAGACAAAACCCCACCTTAGGTGTTTTTAGTTAAGACATCAGAAATCACACAAACCATTGTATTGGTGCATAAACTACTCTCTTTTCAAATATCTGCTGTAGAAGGTCTGTAAAGAGAAAAGATCAGAGCAATTGTTATAACCTGACATCTCACAAGACAGTGTTAGATGGAAAGGTGGACAAAGGCCCAAGGAAGCCCTGGAACACAGCTGTAAGACAAGGCCTGTCATAGATAAGACTGCATAGTAAGCTGGCACTGCTGACTTCCTTAGAATGGCTTTTTACATGAAAGAATACAATCCTCTAGCCTCTCTTCCAAGATTTCTGTCACTGACAAATTCAGTAACAAGATCCCCTGCAGTTTACCAAGAAGACAGGGAATACATACAAACTGCAGGGTCACTAATTCAGGACATCTGTATTTTATAGCATGCACACTCCCCCAGATGAGTATTTTTGCTTACCTCCACTGCAACACTGCCGCTGCCTTCTGTCAAAGGAAGACTAAAGCCTCCCAAGAGACTTCTGAAATGGGGATACTTTCAAAATTTAGTTCACTGTGCCAGTCAGCTAATCTTTCTTTTATCATTTGGCTCTGCCTAGTCCCTTCCTACTGTTTACAGGTACTCAGTACTCATCATCAAAGCAGAAGCCAAGATGAAAAAAAAATCACTGGAAGCTTGATCACAGCAATAGGCTCAAAACCCTGGCCCACACTCAAGATTCTCTTCCCTCCCACCCTTACAAGTATAGATACCAATTTCACTGCAGAAGAAATAAAGGCGTAATTAAAGTGATGACAATAAGGCCCAGTAGACCCAGCCATAGCTGACAGCAGAAAGAAACTAAAATTATGCTCTTAGATACATCATTCTGTCAAAAAATGTAAGCAATAATAAATGTTCTAGGAAATATTCTAGGCAGCACAAATCTCAGTAGTAATAGAAGCTTCACAGCAACATGAAAGCCATACAGAGTTTGCCACAATCATTTCTTAATGCTGATGAAACATACGCAACGTCCTTCTGCCCTCCTGCCCTTCAACTTCAAGGTGGCTCGAAGTCATGTCCAACAAAAACTCAGAATGAAAGAAAAAGGAAAAAAGTAGTGAGGCAGTAAAACTGCACAGAGTGTGGTTATCACCAAGTGATCACTCCCTGGGCACTGAGTGCTACTCTGCTACAGACAAGGACATTGGATTGTTTTATGAATAATCTGTGCATGTATTTTTTGTGCAAGGACAAAAGATGAAACTGGCAGCAACACTGAAATGCTGTACTGTAGTTTTCAATAAGAAGTATGGTTCACATATACATTTTCTTTTCTACAGTGTTCATGAGCTAATTAGGTAACTGTTCTGAAGCTAAAAATAAACAAGCAAACACCAAACCACCAACTATAAACCCCAAACATGTACCACCTACTGTCAAATAAAATGGTGAAAAGAATTCTGCCGGATACTCACAGCATACAATGTCTGCCTTAAAACACTACTCTGATTTTGTTGTCAGTGTCTAAACATTTCATAAGTGCTGTCCTAATATTTTAAGCCAGGCAGAAGCTGATACCAGAGGAAAGAAATAAAATAAGAAAGTTTTTCAGAAGCATTTTTCTTTCTTTTGACATTGTACTGACCATACATCCACTAGAAATTACTAAAGATCTATGCAGAAATACCTCATTTTCATAAGGGAGCCACAAGAAGCAAGAGTGTACTCTGCAAAAGGCGATACTGAATTAGTACTGAATTACCTGAGAAGAAAAGGAAATGAGCTTACAGAGCAGTCCCAGAGACTTGACCATCCAGGTTCTTTTCATATCAGCACTCTGACCCTATCTCACTTTGAAAATCCAATCTCTGGAGAGCAATCAAATCCTTCCCACCCAGCCAGGTCATGGTAACCACGCTAAGCAAGAGCCTGCAGGTGATGGTATAGTTTACTACATTTTCCCTGCAGGGATTGAAAACTGGCTGTGACAGGTGAAAGCAGAAAAGCTCACCCAAAAGGCATTTTTCTGCAATCCCCTTCAGCTGACTTGTTTGTAAGGACTTTGCTTCAATTTGTCTATTCATCATGGAGGAAGTGATTCACTCCTGTTACACAGGGATCTTATTGCACATAAACTATATGGGATCTAACTGACAGCCTGTCAGAGACTCTGCACTTGCTGGGTGGGTGACAAGAAGCTGCCAATTTGTCCTTCAGGACAGTCTGTATTACACACTTGGCAGTAAGGAACACAAGGGAGGTGCTGCCACAACAGCCCTGACACAAGTTTGAGATACCCATGAAAGCCTAAGCGGTGTAACAGTAGATTTGTTGGACATAAACACAGGCTTATGAAATAAACTGTTTTTAAAATTACTGTTTAGGACAGAAATTATGTCCTAATCATCAGCAGAAGCAGCTCACTGCCTTCAGGTATTATCACCAATGGAGAAAGAAGGAAAACCCCTTTGACTATCAAGCAGATATTTACTTAGAGACCAGTCCAGCCTCTGATAACCTTGTTCCTTTTTAATCAGACCTACAGACAGCCAAAATGAGGGGAGTGGCAACACTGCCTTCCTGGAAGCCAATTTTGCAGCTGCACAAGAGTCCAAACAGACACTGTTTGTCACCTGCTATAATTCAACATAAAAGTATGTTTAGCATAACTGAATAAATATTCATGACTCTCATACTCAGCAGGTACACCCAAGATGATAAAATGAAAAATCAGAAAAATAAAAGTACTAAGCAATTTTCTTAAAATGAGAAACCAGTAGTGTTTAAATTGACACAAAGAGATGCCACAGAGCCAATAGATTATTACGCTAAAAGTGTCAAAACCCATGAATGTTAAAAACAGGAATCACACCAAGCTGTGGAAATAAACAATGAGATTTTACAACCTGTATAGTTGTTTCCAGCTCCCCTTCTTGTATTACTGCACCTGTCATCTAGCATACTGTCATCATAATCATATAGAGAGAAGATAAAATTTCTTTTTCTCAAATGTTTACCTTAAGATTCAAACATTGTAAATCTCTCTGAACATGCTGCCTACACTCAGCAGGATCATGTGTTCAGGTACACCCCTTACACTTTCAAGTTTCCCCTCCATTTCACACACTCTAACAAAGCCAATCACTGTTTGCTACACAATGGAAAAATATGTTAAGAATAGTCCTCAATCTTTGTTTTGAACTGTAACATGGCCCAAAAAATATCATAAACTACAATAACATTTTCTATTTTGACAGAGAAGTAGCTCCCATTGATATATACCACATTTCTCTTGGGAGTAATTCTAATTTCCTAAAATGGCAAGTTTACAAATCTTATTGAAATTGCTCTGCATCATTAGCTTGCCAAGAATTTAATTTCATCAGAGTATCCAAGGCTAAGGACATGTCGAAATGGAGAAGTTAATCAACACACACACCTTTCAGAGTGATACTCAACAAGGAATTATGACCTGTATCACCATGAAAAGACTATTCAGTCGAGCATACAACTCTCTATGCAGGAAAAAACAAACAAAGCCAACACAAGAATGATTGCCTTAAATAACATCAGTCAAACCTACTTTAATATCATCACACTAGCAGCCATTATGACTATTCTATTTACCTACATTAAAATGAAGAACCTGAAACTTATTGCTTGCTAGGTCACACCTTGAATATGATGTTTGCTTGAAAATGTCTATGTCTTCTGCTACCTTTTCAGTTAAAGATAGCCTTCCAATTTATGCAACCTAGCACACACAGCAGAAAGCTCAAAAAGTCAAATCCTCTGACCATGATAAAAATAAATTTAGGCAACTGAAAAATTTTGTTAAGTCTCTGGTGAGACAATGAACTTCATTAAGCAGAAAGTAAAAAAGACCATAAAGCATCAAACCCTCCAACTGCCTGGCCATCTTTTGGGTTGAATTTCTGGAAACATAACCTGTATGTTTATTTCTAAGCAGTCACACCAAGCAGAATTACACTCATGGTGTCTTCACAGAACTGACTGATAAGTCTGAGCCATGAACTGAAGCTGATCTAATACAGAAAGTAAAAAATGTAAACACAATGCCAGTTAGTGAGAAAGTGCTAGAAATTATTTCCAATGAAAACAGTAAAGACTGTGGTCTTCTGCTTTAAGTGTATTCCCAGAAGCATACAGAAAAACTGAGTGGGAGAAGGCCCTGCACCATCAGGTTGTCTATTAAGATTAATGCTTCTGCAGCAAGTGTGCCAAAGCAGCAGTGTGCTCCTGGCAGTTTAGAGGTGCTCCCGGTCATGGAGTGTGCATCCAACTGGGAATTGACACATGGCCTGGAGATGCCTTAGCCCTGGATTTCCATTCTTCTCCGTCAGGTAGAATGCAAAAGCAAAGCAATAGATATACTTGTGCATAGACACATGCACAAGCAGTAGAAAGGATTGTGCCAGCTACACTGATTATAATAAAGTATCCCATGTCCTTTCTCGGCTACAGAAACTTTAACTTAATGTTTGTCTTGTGCCGATTTTTAATGTTTCAAGAAAGATTAATGACACAGACACTGACAGAAATAATAGCTTGAAAGCTTTCAGCTGTTCTAATCCTGCTGCAGCATGTCAACTCTCAGAGAAAAAAAAGTGTCTGAGAAATTATGAGCCAAGGTTTTGTTTTCTCAAAATACAAGCCCCAGAGCCTCCAGGGTAAAGACTGGCTACAGCCTATCAGTTTCAAGAAATTTTGTGGGAAGCAATGGTTAGAATACAAGATAGCCCTCCAGTGTCTCAAAGTTAAAAAAATAACAAAGGAAAGGAAGACTACAAAGAAATTATGACCTTGCATGCCAATTAGCAAAAAACATGAGCTCTAAGTTTAGTTCGTGACAGGCTTTGGTATTGTTACACTGTGGTGATATGACTTGTATGTACAGCACTGTTATTATCTTTCTCCTTCTTACATTTGAACTGTGATGTTTTGTAGACTTACTTCAAGTCAGCTGCTAATAAATTAAATCCATTGTAAAGATGTCCCTCTACTGAAACTTTCTTCAAGTAAGAGTAGCTGTCCAGATCTGCAGTCAAGAAGTTTGTTACAAGAGCACCTAAGAAAGAGAAGTACATAGAGCAACTTGTATGTGTGTGCTCACTATTCTGACAGGCCTGGTAAAATAAACAGAAAGATAAAGATTTCTGTTGCAAACAGGCTGTAACAGTGCAAGAAAACCCCAAACCACAAAATCAACCCAAATAACGAACCAACCTTTTAAAGTCTTGTATCATTGTACCATGTTCACATTAAAAGCTTGACTTTTACTCTGAAGAACTCACTCTAAAGATCTTGGTCAAAAATTCTAAGAATTCACATTACTAACTGCTCTGGACTGTGGTTGCACCTTTCCTCTCCTCCTACCTTACAAATTCTTGTCTTGCTTCACTTCCCTGATATATGACCCTAAAATGAAATACAAATGACATAGTTCATTTGTTTCTCTGTACAACGTGTTTTGTCATTGCAATGTATTCCCAATCCAGTACCATATGACAGTTACAAACAGACCTATTTTTACTTTAAAAAACCCCACAGATGTTTTGAGCATCCTCTTTGAAAAATGGTTTTTCCTATTGTTTCTGCTCCTCTGATTTATCAATGGGGAAGAAGAATCTTTTAGGCTACCTCCAGCATAATCCAAGTTACATTCCCTGACACAAGGTGATTGAATATGAATATACATTTTAAAAAGTCTACTGTAATCTAAAACTAGTTCAATGCTTGGCTAGTTTTTCTGCCTCTTAATTAGAATTATTTTCCAGAGGAGATGGTACTGCTACATTTGTTGTATGAATGTGACTTCAGTCTCTAGGCACTACATCTTGTTTTACTTGTGCCTGCTTGATCAAAAAATCATTATCCACGTCAGGTTCCTGACATATGTACTCAAACTCATCAGTTCAAAAATTTTCTTTACAGCACATAAACATTCTGTTTGTCCATGGAACTGTTTTAAGAAAATTAATGTTGTAATCATCACTATTTTACTGGAACATCAGGGTTATTTGTCCACTTCCTTTTTTGTTTTTTATTTCAACTCCTCCATACCTCTTCCTTTTGCATTTTTATCAATCTTTGGCTGCATATAGTTTGTCAGGGCTGCCATCTTGCCTTTCTTACTGATTCCCAGCCATGTCCCTCCTTCTTTTCCCTCTTCCATATCCAGACCTAAGGGAATAAGTAAGTGAGGTTAATACATTAAAATTAAGAAATGTTTCAAACTTACAACAAGTTTTCCTTAGATGTATAAGGGAGAATGAAATTTCTTATTAGAAACGGAACACCACCACCCTAATAATAAAAAAATCCAGACCATGATTCCCTTATATATTATATAAAAATCACTTAAAACAGCAAGACATACATACCACTAAGGATCTCATTGCTGCTGTCCCAAAACTCGGCCGATTTGGATGGTCTGTGGTAAAATTCATCCCTATTAGCTGCTAGAATAAGCCTATAGAACCCAAGAGGAAAAAAGACACTATTACTTACAAATTGGAACTTCACAGTACAGGCAGGAGCAGAATCCAATTTTTTCCAGAGCATTAATTCATTTCAAGCATGAAACCATCCTTTATCTTCCATCTCACCTTTATCACTCAGTGTAAAGTTCAACTGACATCTGACAGCAGCCTTCTCTCTCACTGTCGTGAGACACTCAGCAAGTCCATCTTGTTGAGTGAATGAGGCAACTGGAGTTTTCAAGAAAGAATACTTAGAGTAGAAGACACTGAATTAAGATTGAATAAACAACCTTAAGATTCCTCAGCACGTTACAGCTTAATTAAAGAAAATTATTATTATTTTGAAATTATTTTTTAAAGAAATGTTTTTCATTGGTAGAACATCCTCACCTGAGGAGCAGGTAATGGATTTGGCTGACCCAAGTAAAGGCAAAGGACAGCTGTGACAGCAGGCAAGCCCTGTGTGGAGGCTCAGGGCAGCAGGTGACTGCAGACAGACCTGCACAGCTCCAGTGCAGCTCCCGAAGTCCTGCTCATCAGTACCCACAACATGACTTGTCTTTATTTCGACTACAAGACAGTGAATGCTCCCCCTTCTCTCCAGCTACATTATTTAATTTAATTTTAATGAAATGCCATCCTTCAAAAACCTGCAGATTTTCTTAAACAATTTTCCATAACCTCAGTATCTTCTTCACTGTCAGTTTCTCCTACCAGCTGCATCTCAATTATATCTGCACAGAAGACAAGTTTGCTACTGGAAACTGAAGACAGACCATACAATTTTAATTCTAATTTTTAGCCACAACACACGAGAATCAATTCCAGTGACATCTTATTACTCTGTTCAGCATTCAGATGTACTTACATTCTCTGCAGGTTTCTGAACTTTCCTGCAAATTCATCTCTTCCCTAATACAGTGTTTTAAAAGAGGACTGTGAGGTACAAGTTGCACATTAGAAATACTACAGAAAAATAATCATAATCAAGCATAGAGAAACTAGAAAAAGCTGACACTTCAATGGCATCCTTTCTGTAAGGTTAGTATTCTGTAGGCTTAGTATTTTGTCCAACAAAGATAACATCTGTTGGAAAGCAAACTGTATGGACATTTTTATCTTTCCAGTGCAAATATAATATTTTTCCTTTCAAACTTACATAATTTCTCTTCTTCCAGCTGATTCTAGTCCTTGAGCTATAGGCTTTCTGCTGGTTTACCAAATTTCTGCCATCTTACTTTAACATGCTCTGTTAACAGGATGCAGCCTCCTTTCACAGATTTTAAATTAAATGAATATCTCCACTGTTAAAAAAGTAGTTTGCCTGAAGTGCACTTCTCATCTCCTGAAGCTTCAATGATACTTGCCTTCAATAATTCCTGACATGAAACTACAGTTTGTTTGTAGTATTTAAATACTAAAAATCTGCAAAGTCTTTCTTGTGTGATTGAATATTCCCCATCTCAAGTTTAATACAGACCCCTAAATTTAGCACAAGGGTAGTATGCAAGAGCATAATAATAAAAACATCTTTATTTTGTCTTTTATGAAACATAATTATAGTGAAAAGGAGCAATATTAAGTGACCCTCATCTTCTAATAAATTGCAAAAAGCCTATTCAGCTATTTTATAGCTGAAACAATTCAACTGTATTAAGATTTATTTTAATATCAAGAAAAATGAAAACATGAGAAATCATTCCATTAAAGCAATTTCCTACAATGCAATTCAGCTCCAGAAAAGAGCCTGTGATCACAGCTTTGAAGCTTGAAACATTTATTTATTTGTAAGATACACACAGTACTATTCAGAAAGATGTAAAGGCAGCATACTACCTCTGACAATAATAATGGACTACAGTAAAGTGCTTGTTACACTGCACTGAACTTTACCACAAATAGGCCTCAAGAGAGAAAACAGAACAAGCTGCAAAGGTACAGGCCAATGGTTTTATTAGTGTGTCACAAGGGTGAGCTTTTTGCTTAATTAGGTGCTCAAAAAAATTGACCAATATATTGGTCTAGAAGCCAGGGTCTACCTGGATGGAAAAGTCTCACCAAGTGAGAGAACATGTTTTAGCTTTGCCATTTTCTTCTAGCCAGTAAACTCAGTCAATGACAAGCTGTTTGTCTTTTCAACTTTTAATGCCTATTACTGACACTTTCTTTCAGTTAAGAGATGCAAAGCAGAGAACATTAAGAAAGGTTTAATTGCCTGCTTCATGATGGACAGAGAAATTAGTGTCAGGATTACAGGAATTCCCCTTCGGTTGGAAAAACTGTTCCAAGATGTCACCATGAAATAAACAAAGCTACAGCACAGTGATGCTTGAACTGTAGAGAAAAATTACCCTTAGCAAGGACTTGTAGAGAGATGTTTGGCTTTGTCCAATGGCTATAATACTGCTTGGAATTGGGAGGGCTGGGCACCACTCCCAGCTGATACTGAGACCTGTGACTCAGTCCTTCACAAAGCTGAGGCAAAGGTGAAAAAAACATAAGAACTACTAAAAAAGAAAGAACTTCAACATTCTCCTGAATAAAGACAAGCAAGAGATTCAGTTATGGTGCGCTAAGGAAACAAAAAAGGATTAAAATTATGTATCTGATACTAAAATCTGACACCAAGAACACTGTGGCTTGGCATTTATCACCCAACCAGATAGCTCAGAGTGATTTATTGCAGGTATAGAGCAAGGCATTGCTTAGCAAAAGATACAGAACAAGTTAAATACAATTAAATGCTCCTGAATTTGGGCCAAACATCTCAAAAGTGTTGTCTTATTCTAACAATGACAGCAAGTTGTTTTCTGATATAAATTAATAACTTCAATGATGCAATTTTTTATAGCAAGCAAACTACTCTAAGTTCTACTTTTAAATATTGATCATGGCAGAAAGTTCACTTGGCAAACAACTGCAGTTTACATCCAAAGGATTTCCCAAGAGGCATCAAACTGATGAATCTGTCTTTCGCTAACTACCAACACAAAGAAAGTCAGACCAAATAAATGGATATATTAATTCAGCACCAGTCACATCATAAACAAAATCCCTTTTTAGACAGGCTCCAGAGGCAGAAAGGAATGCACTCTGTGGACAATTGAGGTTTTGGTTCTCATCTCCTCTCTTTCTATAGAATGGCATCTGCTTCTTAATACAAGAGGACAGGAAAACAAGTCATTGAAAGGCACAATTTACTGAGCAGACTGACTGTGATGGTTTCTGGATGAATACCAATACTCGTACGCTACAAAATAATATATAGTATACTATACAGTATGTATAAATACAGAAAGCAATAAACCTTCATAGTCTGAAGTGCTGTCTTTTTATTACATACTCCGTGTACTCAAAGATACTGATGTTGGATATGAAATTTAAAAACTACAAGCTACAATGAGAGAAAATTATTTCAGGATGTTTAATACATCAGAAACTCACCGTATGACATCGAGAAATTCTTATATAACTTATCTAGAAGCCTGCAAGCTTATTTTTTCTTCAGTTTTTGGCTAAACATTTCATACATGTTACTTAGTTTATTGCCTACAGTTTTAATTGCAAGTAGATTGTGGGGAGGGAAAAGGCTAGGATACTTACTAGAAGTTCCTTGGTAGTAAACTGGAAGCCCTAGATGTATCTACCACACTGAAAGCAGGGGACAGCTACAGCTGTGATGCCCAACAACAGAATTCCCCTTAGTTTAAATAATAAAGTAGAAGGCAGGACTTCCAAACACTGGAGTACAGTATTTAAAAGACTTAACACAGCACATGACAGATCACCAACAAAAGGTCCATGATTACAAAGCCCAAGACTTCTGACATAGTCTAAAACCAAAGGCTTCCAAAAAGGCTACAGTACCTCCTCCAATGGGGAAAGGCATTAAGTTATGAACATTACAAAAGCACAATTAAACACATAATACGGATTTGAGTTTGTAATTCAAACAGTGTCTTCAAAAAGGAATTGTGTAAAATATTACAGAAGCAAGCCTGTTTTAACTACAACCATCTTACCTGTATGCATTTTTTGAAACTGGTCGTGGGTCAAATTTGAATAGAAGGATGCACATTGAAGAACAGATGTTTAAATCTTGTTTCTTCCACAAACCTCAATGTAAGGTCATTCTGTAATAGCCTAAAATGTAAATAAAGATTATCTATTATACTGCAAATTATAAATAGAGAAACTTGCTGCTGTACTGAAGCTTAAGGATTACAATGTACTGACTAATAGCTCACAATACATAAATACAACTTCCAAAATAGAATAGTTCTAAAGACTGGTTTACTAACCAAATTTTTATGGTAGTTCCTTCAAAGTTATGCCTGGCTAGTTCAGATATTTAGGGAAAAAAACTTGCATCAGGAAAATATTGACAAAGTCAGGAGTGCTAGCAGTACATGAAAAAAAGACTGTTACGCAATTTTCTGTTCATTATCAATAAAGTGCCTTTACTTTTTTTCCCTCTCTTAAGGAAGGCAAAATGCTTCTGCTAGAATAAAGGAGAAAATAAGACTCAAACTATTGCAGAATCCACAGTTTAAAAAAAAGCCTCATTAAAGACACTCACAGACGTGCAAATAAAGTATAATTTAGGCTAAGCTATTATCAATGCCCAAGAGAAATTAGTATTGTTTAGCATTGGGTAAAAGATCAGGTACAAACAGAAATACACTGGACATTTTGAGTCCAGAATTTACATTTTGATGAGGAGTTTCCAACACTTGTGCTATATTTACAATTCTGGCCATGCAGATGGAATGACAAATGTGCTTTCCATTTCAAACAAACAAAGCAGCTTTCAAATATTTTGCGCTGTCCAATGAACATTTTTCTGGTAATAAAACTGCAGTCTGATCTTTACTTTTTGTGGCTGCTCAAAGAATTATCAGAATGCTACCACCCAATGACACACAGCCATTTTTACTGCCACCGAGAGCTTTTGTCATGCAAGGACTTTCAAGGTAAGTCAAGGGGAGAGGGAGGCAGAATTCAACACCACAACTCTAAGGCCATCTGAACAAACCAACGACTGAAAAAATTTCCGTACAAAAACCAGGATTTTTAGCTGTACTTTCAAGATAAGTAGAAAGTGTCTCTTGCTCTTTAATTTCTACATAATTTGTCGTAAGAAATATCAGGAAATGGATCATCTTGACTGCGTTCACATTACCAGAAACAGAGCTGCAAGTGCAGCATTTAAACGGCTTTTTTTTTAAAATTAACAGCTTGCCCGTAGCTGCTGGCTCCTGTTAAGTCACAGTTCAGCACTACAACCAGCCTGCTGTTGCTGTCATAGCACAGGCTCAGTCTTGCAAGCCAATATCCTGCAAAGAGTTTTCTGCTGCAGGACATGAAATAACTCAAGAAAAGGTGCAACACTCCTGACATGCTTGACAAGAAAATTAGTGCACAGGAGCATGTGTGTGTCTGCATATATATATAAATATACCTCAAAGTATTTTAAATTCCGTTCGCTGGCAAAAGGAATTTCCCTCCCAAGCTGACTCATAATCTATTAGCTAAGAGCAGCCATAGCAGGGCTATCCCAACTCTTTTATGTTTAACAGGTTGCATAATAAGGCACTGAGAAAACTGAATTAAATCACACTGTTGGCTTTCTTTGCCTCTATTAAGTCAATCCCAAAATAACTGCCTTAGAAATTCATCATAAAATGAAGATGCAGTCTTAATTTTTGGATAACTGATTTACTGGCCAGGTCCTTAAAAAGACCCATTGCCAGCTTTATAGAAACAATCTAACCACTTTTGAGAAGGTGATATGCCCCTTCTCAGACTCCTATTGCTGAATTTTCTGTAGACTGCAACCATACTGGACTTGAACTACCAGTACTGGAGGACTTGGATCTCCTACACACAATTTCAGAAACAACACTCGCAGCTCAGAAGAGATCACTTTCAAATCCATGGGTTTAGAGGTTCCCATCTACAGCACAACTGTGAGTATGGCAGGGAATCCTTAAAACTTTTTTTTTTGGCAAAGTGCAAAGAAGCTCACTTGGTGAAAGCAAAATACAGTTTTAATGACAACTATCACTGAGTACTCTTGCTGACTATGGCTGCTACTATTCATCAAGTAACCTGCCATATAATTAAATGGATTACTTGACAAAAAACTGTTTGCAATTAATCACTCATAAGACCACTATTTTAATAAACAGGTCTCAGGCTGCATTAGCTGATTTATTGAGTTCCCTTCAAATAATCAAGTAGGTCCAGCTGTTCATGCAAAGTTACTGGCCAACATAAAGATTAAACAAAAACTGCCAGTCAGAAAACAGCTGCAAAATAAGTTTGCAATACTCATCAGAATTATCTAGATGGACAAGTATTTTGAACACTTCAGTGCCTTTATAGAATCCCCAGTCATTATTATTAGGTATTACTACTTTAACAGAACCTTTTTTGTCACCCCATCAACACTGCTTGATGTTGAGTTACATTTATGCTTTTATTAACCACAAATATCAAACCAGCATTTTTTATCTCAGGCTCCACCTGCCAGCCTTGAGACAAGCATAAATGTTTATAGGTCCTATATAAACAGTCCAACCTTTTTTTTTTTTTTTTAGACAGAAGTGTTTAAGCCAGATAAAACAGAGCTACCCCTTAAAATAGCAACAAGCACTTAACTGGCAAAGGAGGCAAGCAATGTATTTTGGTACCTTTGATCAAAGCTGACATTGCACTTGCAACACGTGTTGTGGATATTACCCTTAAATTCTTAAATAGAAGCATATTGTAAGTCAGACTCAAATTTGGGTATTTTGAAATTTACGATAATTAACAAATCACTAAGAGGAAAAAAAAACTAAAGAGAGGCTGTCATAAATACAGTAAGTACATAAACATTCAATCAAAAACTCTCATGCAGGTGTCATTCTCTCAAGCTCATACTCACATAAAAGCTGGTGCTGTGACTACAGGGATGAGACAAGCACATTGCACAGAGCTGAAGCTGCAAGGCAAAATGTGCTCAACTCAGCCTCCTCCTCGTTCAGCTCAAGACCTCAGACCAAGGAGAGGAGAAGGTGAAAAGATTAGGCCAGCACTGACTTCCACTTGTAACTTGATTCTACAACACCTCCAAAGCTAGATCAAAAGCTGATCTTTGAGCTCCATTTCTGCTGAAAATGTGTCTTCAGAACCATCCTTAGAGATGAAGGAGGTGCCATAGTTTAGAGTTCAAATAGAAAAGGCTAAGTTGTGGTACAATACTTGCTTTCTTATTTGCTTTTTGAGAATACAAGCCAGAATATACACCCTATGCAAAGTGGCAAGGTCTGCAGGAAGGGGGCATAAATCCTCTGCTCTAGATTGAAGACAGTGAAGACTGCTCTCTGGATAATGAGCTTTTATAAATTCTAGTTTGATTATTCCTAGTCAATAAGACAACAATTACCAAGGATGACATGATAGCAACAATCTCCTATTTCTGTAATGTTTCTAGTTTGCTGTCCAACTTATGCCTAATACACACGAACCAGCTTGACAAGAACCACAAACATCCTGTAATTAAGCGTTCTGCTCCAAATGGCACCGCTAATTTGGAAACGACATTAAAGTAACTAACATTCTTGTTCTGTGCTACAATACTCTGTTAGACAGCACAGTGTGTTGTTTTACTCATTTGAAGGATCTGTTAAAAGCCTGAGTGGATGCATGCCAGCATAAGGTAGCGTTTAGAGGGACTTTCAAATGATTCAAACATGATAGATTGTGTATGTTCTTTTCATAGGGTTCTACCATCATTTGGTTGATTAGAAGCAATCAGTTCACAATTTGGCATAAAACTATTTTACCTTTAAGAACTCCCAGTAGCAGGCTTTGAAAAATGAAGCCATTTGTTATGTATTTCCTTTTCACAAATGAAGCATCATAAATAACATCTGTCAGTTACCACAGTGATCTCAATTGCTTCTCAACTGATCCAAAACTATTGTTTAGGTGCAGTCTAAAATACAGCTAAAAAATATTATTCACTGGAATCTGCTAGTTTTATTACTACAACAAGAACTCGTGATCAGCAGAATACAGAACTCTTTTACTGTCTCTTTTGAGTATGTCCAAATGCAACTGAGCCCTACAAGTCCTCAAATGTCTGTAAAATTGGATGTATTTTCTCGTACTACTGAAATAAGAGGTTTTTTTATAGCAAATTTTAAAACCATCAAAAATAAGAAATGCTTGGTTAGTTCTTAAACGTAATCTCTTTTTTTTTTTCCGTTCAGAGAAAAGCTCTCTCATGGCTGCATTTTTAAAGCAGTTTTTTATTTCATTTTTGCACTCCCCTTGTGTACCACATGCTGTACAGTAGCAGTACTAATAACTAAAGATGAAGTGGAATGGATGGATCTATAATTTGATGACTTCCAGATTGCTCCTGATGACAAGCATTTTGAAGTAACTCAGGCTTTTGTAACCCTACAAAGGTGAAGAGTCAGTCTTCCCTGCAAGAGACAGCAATGCAAAAGTTCAACACTTATGAAATATATAAAATAACATGTAAGGTGAAAGGCACTCCCAAGTTTAACGGGCTAATTTTATTTACGGCTGCTTAATTTCTCTCTGGCATTTTACTAGATTAGGTCCACTGTACAGCTCCCATGAGGAACAAACACTGGTAAACATAACCTTTCACCACATCATTATTTTAGAAACATTTACGAGAATGGAGTAAAACAGCCTTTGCCCCAGTTTCTCAAGAGCACGGGTTTCTCCTCAGCCACGGATCTGCAAACCCAGAGCCTTTGCAGGGCTTGTTCCTTAGATGAAAGCTGTATTTTTAGCTTGTACAATTCTTAGGTTTTCTTCAGGGAGGAACCACCATACGACATTAGTAGTTTTCACTGTCTACCTGTGACTATTTCTTCACCTCAAAGGATCACTACATATTAAAACTTAATTAAAAAATTACTTTATTTCTCCTGTACACTTACAATCACTCCTATACGTGACACAAGAACCAACCAGCCACCACCCACGCAGGAATGAAATGCCACCGCATAACCAACGAAAACACGTGTGAACTGACATCTGAAAATATCCTCAGAGGTGCTGCTGGATAAATTTAGGATAAAAGCCTTAAGCAAATGGCGCTCAGTAGCAGCACCTTCGTTGGCGGGGAGGGCCGGGGCTGTGGCGGTGGCCAGGAATGGCACACACAGCCCCCCAGACCAGGAGCCCGTCAGCCCGCGGCTGCTGGTGGCAGCTGAGTTGCCGCCGCCTGTGCCCGAGGCCGCCCTGCAGGCTCGGTGCCCCTCAGTCCCTCCCGTGCCTCCCTCACTCACCCACGGCCGCCGCACCGCGCGTCCCCCGCGCCGCTTCCGGAGGGCGGCCAGGCCGACCAGCGCCGCCCCTCCGGGGGCTGGGCCCGGCTCCTCCTCCCGCCGGCGCTGCCGACACCTTCCCTGTGCCCGGGGCCGTGTCCCGCGGGCCCTGCTGGCCCTGCACCCCCTCGGGGTGTGTGCGAGGGGCTGGCACGACACCGCCCGGCATCCCCCAGCGCACTGGGGAGTCACCTCAGAGTGTATGAGCTGCTTCTTGGCTGCCTTAGCCTGCTGGCAGCGTATCTGGTTGCAGGCTGAGACGAGAAATTCGGGTCGTAGAAATTTTATTTCCACTGTTAGGGTGGTCAGGAATTGGAACAGATTGCCCAGCCAGAGCTGCCATCCTCGGGGGTGTGTAAGATCTGGTAAAGTGGTTTAGTGGTTTATAGAGGTTACAGTGATAATGAGGTTGGACTTCATGATCTTAAAGGTCTCTTCTCACCTTGCTGGTGCTATGATTCTATGAGGGTGTGAAATAGTAATGTTACATGCCTGATCTGAGCTTCACAGAGCTTATGCCTCTGAGGACAGATACACCCAGGCTGCTGGCAATCTCAGTGGGTTTGGATGTAGCTCCAGACCCCTCAAAAAAAGGCCCCTGTGTGTGATGCTGTTCCCCTGACTACCTTCAGCAGAGACTCTGCTTCCAGGAAGGCCCCAAAGTCACTGAGCCCTGAGCTTGCAATTGGATGAGTTCCAACCAGAACAGCTTTCCTGCAGACTGAGGAAAACACAAGTAACATCAAATTTGCTTTCAGTTATTAGCACAGCATGATCAGAACTCATAACCAAACATTTAGTAATTTTACCAAAATCTGCAGATTTGGGTTGGGATTGGATCTGTGTCACCTTTTTGTCTTACTGAAATATTAATACTTAATTTTTAAAACAAAATCTCAAACTTAATTTTCTTTTTTTTTTTTTATGGGGGGCAATAGAGGGTTTCAGTGGAGCCTGGAAATTAGAAAATGTTTTTAATGTTTAAAAGCCTGTAAGGAAACACCATAAAACCGTGGAGTGCTCTTCCAGGTTCTAACACTGATAAAAACAATACACATATGATATGAAACAGTAATTAAAAGAATTCCCAGGGGTATATGGATGTGTTTAGGTGGCTTGCGGGGCAAATCATTTCATCCTGGATACAGAAAACCTGAAGTCAATTGTCAGCTTTAGCACTGCTCTGGCATATGACATTGAGCAAGTTCATCTCAATGCTTTCCTTCTCCATCATCAACAATGGGATAATCACAGTGACCTTTGGAAGGTCTCTTGAGATATACTGATGAAAATTACTGGTTGAGTGTATGATCATCATTCTTTGTACTACTGCTTCTGAAACACAGTAATATATTGCAGTTATTACCTTGAGACATATAAACCTAGAATGTATTTATGCTTTCAGGTACAGAGTTGTTATTTAAAGCAGTTATCTGATGTCTAAATAGACAAATTATACAAATCTCTGTTCCACTGAAATTAGTAAAATGCATGCACATTAAATGTAATGTATTGGTTTTTGGCATTCTGAGTCTCAAAGTATTGACTCATCAGTGACCAAAGATTATTTAGCTTCTGTGCTTGATACCCATTTAAAATATTCAGGTGATAATCTGCATACCTTCAGCAGTCATGTCTATGGGAAGAAAAAAGTATCCATAGGCTTAAAACTTAATGGTGTTTTTTACTGATTTTTTTTTCTATTTTTAATACATATGAGAAGTAAGAATAAGTTCAGAATAATTTAAAAAGACTTTCAGGAGGCTGCACAAAATGAGTCCACTGCAAGAATTTGTGAATACTGATTTGATGGCCATTCTGACTCTTTCTTTTATTCTTGCATCTACCTTTTGTTCTGTCTAAACCAGCTTGGTTATTGTTGCCCCTTCTAGACCCTGTCCTTGAGAATCAGTGTATAGCTCCTATGTTTGTCAAACTTGAATAGACTGATCCCAAGAAGGCTGATCCTGTATCCAGTTTAAGAGAGTGGTATTGTCAGGGCAGAACCTTTGTGGGAGAAAGCTAAAATGCAAGCAGAAGCTTAATGAAAGGCTTGTAGAATTGTGCTGAGTTGGTTTCAGAAAGAGAAATTGTCCTGACATTTGTTTATAAGAGTGTTCTTTGAGGGCTGGACTGCACTTTATTTGGAATGCATAAAGTACACCTTAGATGGATTAAGTATCTTTTCCCTGAGAGGTCCAAGAAGCAGCTTTTAAGAGGAGACTTCAGGGACCCTAACAGTTTTCTAGAGATCAGTTCTTGCTCTGATTTAGTTTGATATCTCTATCATTTGTCTTGATGATGCAAGATACTTATTAGTAAATTTTGTAGCCTAATAAATGAGTGGATAATTCACAACTGGTTACAAAATAATCTGATATGCCCAATAAGGCATCCAGTCCAGTAAGCTGCATTTCCACTATCATAAAACACAAGGAAATTCATCTGGAAATAAAGAATGCAGGGATGGGGCTAGCATGGCAGAAAGTACCTCAAAAATAATTTAGTTGTTACTATTTCACTGTGACCTCTCAGGGTAATACTGTGGTAAACCGGACTACTCTAACCGTTTACTGTATAAAATACAGAATATATAGGGGAGACAGGGGAGTGACAGTCTTTGTCCACAGCAAAGTGACAGTGGAACGCTAAACCATTTCTGCCACCCACGGTTAAGGAGGAAAAACAGAGGAAATGAGGAACATTACAGAAAAGGAGGAATATTAATGGTGGGCATACCACGACATAAAATAAGGGCGTAGGAACTTCAGGCTATTCAGATTACCAAAGACAAAGCTGAGAGGTGACGATGGCAGCGCTATCTGCAAACGCCGAGAAGGTCAAGTTAGACAAATCCATGCGGATCGCGTGCCAGAATTACCTGGCTGCAATGCACCTGACGGGCCCTCTGCCACAGCGTTTCAGCCACCAGCTGGGCCCGCAACCTCCGGGCGAGCAGCTGTGAAAGCTGCGTTCATTCCCGAGCGCAGCAACCCTCCAGCCGCGCAGCGGGGCAGGGGCGTGTAGCCAGGCAAGGAGGTGACAGAACGCTCCCTGCCGCTCCTGCCGAGCGCACTCCGCCAGCGCCCCGCTCTCCCGGGCAGGCAGTGCGGCCCGGCTCAGGCCCGGGGCTGCGGCCGCTCCTCCGGCCCCTCCCGCCGCCCGCGGGGGGCGGGGCCGCCGCGCTGTGACGG